CCTGCAATGTCTAAACGAAGCTTAATAGTTTGTTTGGACATTTGTCAATAACATTCAATACATAAAGGTATATATGTTTGCATCAATAACATTGTTTTTTACTGCATCGAAAATGTCGAAATTTGAGCCAAATAAGCGTCATTTGCGCGAAGTGTTAATCTTTTGCTTCAATTGGAAGAAAACTGCAGCTGAAGCTCATCGAATGCTTGTGGAAGTTTATGGTGATAATGTTCCTTCCGATAAAACATGCAGAGAACGGTTTCGACGCTTTAAAATTGATGATTTTGATGTAGAGGACAAAGAGCGTTCTAAACGGCCAAGAGTATTTGAAGACAAAGAATTGCAGGCATTGGTGGACAAAGATCCATGTCAAACGCAAAAGCAACTTGCAGAAGCATTAAATTGTGCTCAATCTGTCATTTCCGATCGTTTGAAAGCCTTAGGAAAGGTTTATAAGAAAGGAAAATGGGTCCCATATGAACTGAAGCCAAGAGATATTGAAAGGCGAAAAACCACCTGTGAAATTCTGATTGCTGGGCAACAAAGAAAGGGGTTTTCACATCGTATCATCATTGGGGATGAAAAATGGATTTATTTTGACAATCCCAAACGTCGAGAAACTATTTGCGAGCCCGGCCAACCCTGAACATCGACGCCAAAGCGGAATATCCACGGCAAGAAGGCAATGCTCTGTATTTGGTGGGATCACAAGGGTGTGCTGTACCATAGGCTGTTGAAAAGTGGTCAAGGGTCACAGGGGATCTCTACAGAGAACAAATGATCCGTTTGAGCCGAGCATTGCACGAAAAACGACGAGAATATGAAAGGAGACAGCATGATTTGCTTCATGACAACGCTCGGCCTCACGGCACAAAATCTGTCAACGAAACGTTAAAAGCACTTCGCTGGGAAGTGCTACCTCATGCGGCTTATTCACCAGACTGTGCTCCTTCCGACTACCACTTGTTTCGGTCGATGGCACATGCACTTGCTGAGGAATACTTCAATTCTTATGAAAACGTCGAAAAATGGGTCTCTGACTGGATAGCCTCCAAAGATGAGTTCTTTCGCCGTGGAATTCGCTTGCTGACCGAAAGATGGGAAAAAGTCATCGCTAACGATGAACAATACTTTGATTGGTGTACTTTTTCATTCTGTTTCTTAAATGAAGCCACTCGTTTTGCAAGAAAACGGACGGAACTTTTCGATTGACTTAATAATTAGGAGAAAGAATATACGTATTATTCAACTTCATGCAATAGATTATAAGCTGTATTTGATTAAATCTGGGTAAATTATTTTCGTTATGGCAACACACATGTCTTTTTTAACAAGCGTTCCAAATATTCTGATCCATGAGCATATGGTTATTTTTTCGTTCAATGTTGGAGATAGAGCATAACTGAACAAAAGAAGCTGACATTCAAATCAACACATTCCCTTTTATATCAAAGGAAAATTAATTGATATAAGAAGAAATCCTCTTAAAATAAGAGGAAAATAGTTAGATATCTAATAAATTTTAGACGAATGGTTCACTTTAATCTCTTTATCGAAAGAGGAATCCTTTTTCTATAAAATACTTTGCTTAGAATATGAGATTATGGGAAAAATTACTTTATGAATAGAATACTTCTTTTTGGGTGTGAGTCTTATGCCTCATAGGGACGAGCACAAGATATGAAAATTTCTGCAATTGCCGAAAATCTCAAATTTTCACACTTGATTCGTCTCCCACACTTTCTTTTCTCCAGCGCGCATATCGCACGTATCGGGAGAGAGAGAGAAACGTGACTCCGAAATATTTTAACGATACGCGCTCGTTCGAGTGGGGGGTTGTAACGCGACCGCGAAAGCGTACGGAGATCGGGAAATTGATTTTTCTACCCAAGAAAGTGATATGCAGCTACCGCAACGAAAAGCCATATCCTTCACGTTGCGACAGTACAAGTGTCGTTATTAATGCCTGTGCATACGCTCGCGTATTTGATGTCGTCTACTTTTACGTCCTTCGAGCAAGCATGCTGCAATAGTTGACGATGAGCAAACTTTTCGAGTGAGAGAGAAAGAGAGAGAAAGAAAGAGAGAGAGAGAGAGAGAGAGAGAGAGAGAGAGAGAGAGAGGAGAGGGGTGAGGGAGACAATCGCTCGAATACACATGCATGAAATTTTCGAGTAGAATTAATTAAAGCGGAAATAATTAAAGGGTTTAAATAGGGTTCAGTCAAAGGCGGCTAGGACTGTCGGCTTGCATTATTGAGGAAAACATCAGGAGATCGGGAGAAAAGTATGACTAGTATGACAAACTCCGCGGATTTCTTAGTGCATTCTATTAACGTCCCGACAGTATCACACGAACCACATCTTTCCGCTGATAAGTGCTGTGAATGGCAGAGAATAGCGATTGTTATATTTTTGTGTTCTCTCGTACCTTCTCTCGTACCTCCTCAAGGACAACAACCGGTATTAATAACGAGCGATATTAAATAAGTATTCAACGTGTTCGTCTCTTGATTATGTTTCATAATTTATTTGTATGTACACACACACAGACATACATACATACGTACATATATACAGGGTGTCCCATTTTAAATAAGCCAGAGAAAAATCGTGAAAAATATGAAAGATACTAAGAAACGTTTCAGACAAAAGTGTATGGTTTCAAGGGCGACATAAAACAACTATATTATTTTGTTTACAGAAGACGCCGCTTTCGAGATATTCACTAATCGTTACTTTTCTTAAATGGAAATCCGAATATTTTATTATATCATCTTTTTCTACCGATTAATTTGGACAACTTTTATCTGAAATACTTTTTTTTGCTTAATATTTTTCGAGATATTTAAAGAAAATTTGGTAATTTTTTCAATATTTAACTTACGATATCTTGCTAATTATTAGCCGGAAGAAAAGGTAGTACTAGACTTTTTTACTCTACTTGATCTTAAGAATATACTGTTATAATAATGCTCTAACTTTTATTAATTTGATGATTTTGAAATTTCGAAAAGTCGATAAGTTAACAAAAATTAAGGCATTATTGTAACAATATATTCTTGACCAAATAGACCAAATGGAGTAAAAAAGTCTCGTAATATTTTTTTCCGACAAACAGTTAGCGAGATATCGTAAGTTAAATATTGAAAGTTACCAAGTTTTCCTTAAGTATCTCAAAAAATATTGATTGATACAATATAAATATTGAAAAAGTTTCCCTTAAATATCTCAAAAATATTAAGCAAATAAAAAAATGTTTCAAACAGAAGTTGCCCAAATTGGTAGAGAAAGACGATACAATAAAAAATTAGGATTTAAGAAAAGTAATGATCAGTGAATATCTCGAAAGTGGCGCCATCTGTAAACAAAATGATAAGTTTTGTGTTATATCCTCCTTGAAACCGTACAACTTTTGTCTGAGACATTTTTTTTCTAAAATGCTCTCGAGATGTTTTGCCGTCCCAGTACTTTTTATGCACTCTGTATAAATATATATATTGTAAGTACTTTTTTTCTCAACACACCTGCTGTACTCAAGAATTAAGTAGACTGAAAGTGGAAATTGAAAATCGCGTGAAGCGTCGTCTTTCGGAAGAGTCGCTCGGTCATTGAACGCACGATCGAAGCTACGATCTTCCGAAAGACGAGTGACGAGAAGAAGTATCCATATTAAGAAGAAAGTGCATTCTTAGATAATGATAATAGTAGTGCCATGTGCTATGTGCAAGTGCGTGTTTAAGATCAAGTATCACATTCACTATTGAACATACCGAGAGCTTATACTCTAGGGGAATGCGTTGATATTCGTTGACGTTCGTTGATCTTTGATACTTGAGGGTTTTTGGAAAACGGATACGGGATCGTGGTTACTCGGGGGGCGGGGGGGAGGGAAGGGTCACCAGTATAGTTTTACTGGCTGTTGAACTATATGCTGCACTAAAGACAAAGGGGGGAGAGCGACGTAAACGAAAACAGAAAATAAGGTCTTCGTGGGATTCCGTCCGTGATCAACGATCGACGACCAGCTCGCGGCGTGATGATATTCCGTTGTTAAATGTAGGTTTGCTCGCCGGAAGTTTCTCGACTTCCCCGAACATGATGTAGCGAATACGCGGAGTAGTACCGTCCGGATGCGAATTTCTGAAAAAAGCAATATACTGGGTACGTTCCCGTTAACCTAATAGTTAGCGTTAATAGCGCCGCGTCGTTAATGACATTACGGCGGGACGCGCGCTGCTCTGCTCTGCATACCTGCTCGAGCTCATTCGTCCAGTACTGGTATACGTTACTATTGTTTCGCATCGACGTTTGTTTGTTATCAAAAATCAATCTGAACGAGGTGCCCAGAAACGTATTTCCATCCGAACATTATTAGTCAACTTAATAAACGCGTGGAAACAGATGTTGACCCGTCGTTTTTTAGAAAAGTTTCGATGCAATTGAATCTCATCAGATTTAAATCCTTTAAACAGAGAGAGATTTCAGAACACAAATCAAAATAAATAATATTCAAACTCTGATGAGAATTAAATTCGGTTTAGAATAAAATCAACGTTAAACTCGTTAATAGCCGCGATAAGCTACATTCGGGTAACCACGTCCAATTCTGGTCCGCGTTATTATTATCGGATATTATGAAATCGCTTCTTTCTCCCTGCGAAATCCACCGCCTTCTCACAACAGAGCTCAATTTTCGTAAAGTGCATACGCGCACGCGCATACACCGAAGTGGCTGTTCCGATCTTTTCAGCCTAAAGCCGTTCGAGTCTTCATATTTGCGACTAAAACCTGCGAACTTTATCTCTTAATTCCACAGCTTATGCAAGGGCCAAGAGGGAGTCCCGAGACACGAGATGAATTTTGGCAAGATTATTCTAGCGCGAAATCGAGTTAGCTCTCTGAATTGAAAATTCGTTTCCGAACTAATCCTAATGTATCGTCTCGCGTTAGAGGTACACATTTCCGAAAAAGCGGGTAAACAGCGTAGCTTAGACTCACCTGACTCGGTTTACACCTGAATGCCGGTTGATACCGCCGTCTCATTCGTCTTGGGCAACAAACGCATAGAATTCTGACGAAAGCTCTGAAACGAAAAGGTAGAATGTATCTCGCAACGTTCGCGCAGATGAATAAACGCGCTATGACAAGAGAGAGACTCTACAGCGGCGGGAAAATACTTAGCAAGTGCAAGCTCTTGACGAGGTTCTCACAAGTAATACTACCCAACTGTCACTCACCGATTCCAATGAAATTTGGCATGCACGTAGAACATTGAAAAATATTGAATACGTGTTTTTTTATATCGGCGGACAATGCATTTTAAGGGTGGAAATTTTACATGTGAATATTACATGTGATTTCCGTCAAACTTGTCTTTCATTGAACTAGTCAGTAAGAGGTTTTTAGGCTCGCTGATTACGAATCTGGAGATAAAATTACAAAATTCAAGATGGCGGACCCAATATGGTGGACCGAAATTGTAAAAAGATGGCTGATTCAAACCAATTTTGGTATCTGGAGCTTTTTGGGGTCTCTAATTATGAATCTGAAGTTGAAAGTCAAAATATAATTCGTTTGTCGCATTTTATTATTATTATTATTATTATTATTGTAATGTGTTTTACTTGTAAGATTTTTAAGAAGGTTTATTGTAAACTTTCAAGGATATTAATTATATAAATTTTCTAGACGTTAAGATTAACGTTTTGAACATTAATAGATTTTCTGCTGTTCAAGTCCAGAATTTAAATAAATAATATGAATGAATATGAATAAATAAATAAATAGAATATAAATAAATGAATAAATATAAAGCATAAGAGGAAGTATAAATCTGAGTTGACAAAATCAAAATCGCATATAAATGTTTCTACGAAACAGATGAGAGTCCGATTTCCTTTTTTCTTACGGTAGAGACATTTATTTGATTATCAATTCGTTCTCATTTTTTGTATTTATTGGCCGTTGTATTTATTGTCCGTTGGCGATCGGCTATAATAAACTATTCCTTGTGAATTTCGTTCCGCTATTATATTAACAATTTATTATATGATTATTCTTGATTCGGAAGGAATGATTTCGCAATGTCGATGAATCCAAAAAATATATTAAATTTATTACGCCTCTATTTCGAAGATCTTGTGTACAATATACAATCGGATATAACTGAAGAGGAAAAATCGTTCGCGTCTCATCTCGCGGATTTAATGAAAAATGCTATCAATAATCAAGTGTTTATTGAGAGTTATGATTGTTTAAGCTTCCATGATCCTAGTGTAACTCCTGATGCCGTTTTAGTTGAAGAAGAGTTAGAATATGATTCGCAAGGGGATGTGCAAGACGATACGAAGTTCGACGAAATGGTAGACTTGCAAGAATTACAAGAGGAAGGTAGTTGAATATTGGCGATCGGGGAAAAAGAAAAGATTGCGTTTTGAAACAGTAAAAAACCGATTCAAGAAAATCTTAAATCAACGATATTTATACAGATGGAAAGCATGTTGCTTCGAAGGTGGATCAAGAAGTGATAAATTATTATTTATTTCACAATATGTTATGGAACAATTTAACTCTGTTTCTGACAAAGGTGTTCCCATCCACGATTTAGATTTGAAAAGATGGGCCATCACGGCGAGAGAAGATGTTAATTTATCTCGTCAATCATTTTTGGCTTCAATGAAATAGGTGTATAATTTTAAAATTCAGCATGGGATTGTTTCAAAGAAAACATCCTATCTTATCAAGATATGTCAGAATATCATTACATATTCCGTTCGGATACTGACGGATAATAATCTTTTGGAAGATCAACTTCCTAATCTGAAAAAAACTGACGTGATAGGTCAATTTTGAATACCGATTCATTGTTAAATTCAGTAAATGTAATTGCCTGAGGCAATATCCTCCTTCACTGGTACAATTTCGATCTGTCATATTGCGTCATATTCCGCCATCTGTCATATTCCGCCATCTTGAATTTTGTAATTTTATCTCCAGATTCGTAATTAGAGGCCCCAAAAATCTCCAGATATGAAAGTTGGTTTGAATCAGCCATCTGTTTATAATTTCGGTCCGCTATATTGGGTCTGCCATTTTGAATCTTGTAATTTTATCTCCAGATTCGTAATCAGCGACCCTAAAAACCCCTTACTGACTAGTTCAATGGAAGACAAGTTTGATGAAAATTACATATAATATGTACAAAGGGTTGAAATAGTGCTTACATGTTCAGGGATCAAGGGGTAATTTCCATTCTTAAAATGCGTTGTCAGCCGATATAAAAAAACATATTCAATATTTTTCAATGTTCTACGTGCATGCCAAATTTCATTGGAATCGGTGAGTGATAGTTGGGTAGTATTACTTGTTAGTGATAAAATCAAGAAGAGGAGAGTAAAGAAGATGAAATGTGAACGACATAAAGAGCACGAGACGCGAATGATCGTGCGACGGGAAAATAATGTATTAGGTGGTTGAATTAATTCTGCTCTTATGTCGTCAACTTTTTATCTTTATTTTAAAGAAATGGTTAAATTTACACCAATCAAAGTATTCTCCGTCGTTAATTGTGACTTTTTCCCATTTTTCTGGCAACATAGCGATTCCACGACGATAGAACGATCTGTCTTTCGAAGCAACTCAATCAGACACCCATTTTTGCACATCCTCGTAATTATCGAAGTGTATATCTGCCAAAGTGTGTTGCATCGATCGAAATAGAATGGTAATCAGAATGATGCTAGGTCTAGAGAATACGCTAAATGCGGAAGGGTTTCCCATTCGAGCTCTAACAATGTTTGTTTAATGATTGAAGCAACATGTGGATGAGCATTATCGTGTAAAAGAATCACTTTGCTATTGTCTATTGATGGCTATTGTTGGCCTTTTTTGCATCAATTCATCATTCAATTTGTTCAATTGTTGCTGGTATCGCTCCCGCGTAACTGTTTCATTCGGTTTTAGAGGCTCACAGTACACCCACACCTTCCATATCCCATTAAATGCAGAGCATTGCTTTGTGACCGTAAGTATTTCGTTTTGGTGTCGATGTTGGTGGTTGTCCTGGATCAACTCATGATTTTTTTCGCTTTGGACTATCAAAATAAATCCGCTTTTCATTTTCAGTTACATTTCGCCACAAAAAAGCTCTTTTTTTTTGTCTGACAAGCAAAGGCACAGCGATATTCAAACGATTTAAAATGGCACTTTCGCTCAATTCATGCGGAACCCATTTACCTTCTTTTTGAATTTTTTCCATGGTGTGTAAGCGTTTAGAAATTGTTAATTTATCGACGTTGAGTTATTCAGCTAATTTTTTCCGTTTAAGCGATATTTCCATGCAATAATGCTTGCAATTCAGAAGTTTTTGATTGACCAGTACGTTCTTTGTCACTCAAATCGAAATCACCATTTTTGAATCGTTGAAACTAAAATTTACAATTAGAATACAATGGAGCTTGATTACCATAAGTTGTAACAAGCATCTGATGAACTTCAGTTGCCGATTTTTTCAAATCAAATAAAAAAAAAGTAATGATTGTAGAAAATGCAATTTAGTACGATTCATTTTAGACGCGTGTAAACAATGAAACTATCAATAACAATAATGTCCAAACTGTCACAGAGAAATGTCAAATCTTCCAGTATTGCCAGATTTCAACATTCGTACTAACCATTAATTTATTACTAAAGCCATTTATTGCTAGGCACCAGAACTAATTTAACAACCTAACTTGACCTACATATCGCTGCGAAACTTCTCCGTCGTAAAGCACCGCTCGACGAATCGGCGAATCGGCGCTCGAATTCGGATTTTCCATAGACATAGGAATATAGGGACAGAACATAAGTCCGTAAGATAGGCGAGGGGAGTTGTGCTGAAATGCGGGGGACGACTGTGCCTAAGTTTCATTGGCTACAATAGTGCGCATATTCAGAGCGTGTGATGCAACAACTTGGCTGTCACTGGCAAATAGTAAATGTAACAAAATGATAAGAACTATTTACACTGACAGCATTTTGCAGAGGTTATGCATGTGGTCTTTTTTTTCATAATTTCACTCATACACAACTTCATACACATCTATGTATGTATCAAATACTTACACACGGCACAACCACCAATTAGATTTAGGCACAGTTTACCTCGTCGCACCGTCTCGCACTGGTTATCCCCCCGCAATTCTATGCTCTGTCCCTATATTCCTATGTCTATGGAATTTTCCCGTTACGCAGCGAGAGTAGTGAAGCGTACGAACGTGCGTCTGTCCAATGTCACGACGCAGTGTCGTGGTGCCAAGTGTGGTTTAACGCTGGGATCGCATGACTGGCATGTTTTTTCATGCGCCGTGTGTACGAATATTTGCATAAAGGCCATGAAAATACAATGGCGATGAAAATATGACGATGCGATCGATACTCGCGTGTTCATCGCATCTCACAGGTACATACCGCAGCGCTAAGGAATTCGAAATCGCCGGCTCGATTGGTTAACGCAACCAGAAACACGCACGACCTCTGGAATCCGATATCGCGACTCGAATTCGGAATCCTTACTCGTCGCTGGCGATTTCGAACGTTTTCGGGAGCCACATGCATTGGCACGCGCAGTGTGTGCGTACGTAGATGTCCGCAAAGGTTCGTTGGGTTTTTAAATATAATTATTTCATTAACAGTACAAGTATAATTAACGGTATAATTAACCGTGCGATTGACGCATTAGATATAATATGTGTATTAGGTGCCTGCAAAAGTTCATCGAACTTTTGAATATATTTATTTAATTAAAGTTTATTAATTTAAATTTATTTATTTTATTATATTGACAGTATAATTAATAGTATAATTAATATAATTAACAATAAAAGACCATGTACATTTATTGTAATTAAAATACCTGCCCCGCCACTGTCATCTCTCAGATATTAAATTGTTTAATCTCATTTCTGAAAAATGATGAAATATATCTTTTCGAGCAATGAAATTATCAGCCCCCATTTACGGATTTCCTCGATATTAGCGAATCTGAGCCGGGCAAGCCATGCTGCGTCGATCTAAATAAATGAAAATCAGATGGGGCAATGCCTGGCGAGTAAGCGCTTTGTTTCCGCAGCGGTCTTCTTTCTTCGATTGAAACAAAAAAGTAGATGCATTTTATCGGGTTCTACTTTTGCCTATTTTTACTATAATAAAGATAAAATTACGTTGTTAGAGACACTGAGACACCGTGGATAAATTTTAAGGTGGCGAGCACAAATACCTTCTTCAACCTTATGAAGTTCCGCAAAAAACAAACCGTCAACTCGCGGTAACTCCCGTCGTGTACATGTATGTATTACATGTACTTTTATGTGCATGTAACACACACATGTACAAATATAGCGTGAGCCGCTAAGTGGATGATAAACGGATCTCTCTTTGTAAGCGCACGAACGACGTTACGTGATATTTACACTCGGTGACCTTATTCAATTAGATTGCTGCAGCTGTACTTGCATTTGCACGCCGATACTAGAGTACTCTCTCTCTCTCTCTCTCTCTCTCTCTCTCTCTCTCTCTGTCTCTCTCTCTCTCTCTCTCTCTCTATCTCGCAGCCGGACGATGCACAATTACGCGAATGCCGCATTACGGAGCAGTTCAGCCACGGGCACACGGTACAAGCGAGTAAGCTTGCCCGAGCGACATGGACGACACCAGACCGAGCTGCTTCGGCTGTTATCGGGAGACGGGGGGTTACACGCGTGGTTTCTTGCTCGTTGCATTAATATCCGCGGTTTCCATCGTGCAGCCGCAACGTATGTTCGATCGATCGATCATCTTCAAGGAGCTCGTGGAACGTCGGCAGCAAGAACGCGACGAATTTTCCCGATTCATACCCTGCACAAAGGCGTTTATCGACGAGTACTTCGATCATCCGGGATATGTGTCGCTCGTGTTGCCGAACGAGCCGCGAGATATTCCGGATTTCGCGGAGCCGTTGATAAGCGAACTGCGCGGGAGAAGCATGATCTACACGCTCAACGTAGGGATGATAAACGTGATAGAGATGTACGAAGACGATTTGAACGGCATTATCCTGACGAAGAACGCGTCGGCCCTCGGGGAAAAGGACATCTGTCTGGCGAATTATTGCAAGCACGACTGCGACTTCGTAATAGCGCTGACGGAGCCGTTCGTCGACGAAGCGAACTTCCTGGCGGATGCTGACGAGCTAATACGACGCCTGTGCCTGCGATCGATCTTCGAGCTTGCGATATTGGCGATGGTCGGGGATTCGGCTGTCATCGCCGGTAGCCGGTCCCGGACCGACGATGGGCTGTACACCCCGGCCGACGCGGCAATTCTGGCGAGATGTGAGCAAAGAGACACGATTCGATGGCAACGCTTGGCCGACCAGAGGACGAAGTCGTCCTCCCGTGAAAATGTTGTGAATGTGGCGATGTTGCGGAATTACCCATACGCGATACCGGTCGGCGTCGGCACGGACTGCCTGAGATTCGACGGGATCGAGGGCATGATGGTCGAGGAGATAGCGCGTAGCCTAAAGATCCAACTCAACAGGAAGGTGGTCAAGTGGAGGAATGTGACCGTGATCGAGGATGAGCTGCAATGGAGACTCTACGATACGATGAGCAGCGACCTGATGTTCGGCGGGTTCCTGTGGAGCTACAGTCCGAAGATCGAGTACACCAGTTCCTACGGTATGGTGCACATCGTGTGGCTAGTGCCGATTCACATGAACGTCTCCCTACGCGGCCTGATTTTGCCGTTCACCGCAAACGTCTGGTACGCGATTATCTGCGTTCTGATCATCGGCGGGCTCGTGAAGCACCTCTTCATCCGCGACACCTCATTTCTCGACATCGCTGCGTTGCTCTTTGGCGTGGCGACCAATCGTCAGCCGATCGAGATCTCCAGCAGGATCCAATTCATAGCCTGGGCCTTGTTCGGCTTCTTTATCACGCAACTTTATCTTGGCTCATTGGCCGACCAGCTGATGAACGCCTCTGCCGCCCAGATAGAAACCATAGATGAACTGATGGAGTCGGGTCTGGATCTAGGCGGTACCAAGCTGTTGGCGAATCTGCTGAGTACGCCCGACAAGAACGACGATGACAGCGAGAACGTCAGGCGGATTATTCAGGAGAACTTCATTATTTTCGACCAGCGTACCTACATCAGACGAGTCCAAGATATCATAACGGGCAGAAACAACAGTCTGGCTTTGCTCGTCATGTTGAATCTGACAAACATATACAACGTGGAAGACGTAGGACACGGTCATATCGTGAAAGAGACCATGGGTACTTACCCGTTGGCGCTCGCTACTTGGCGAAGTTTTCCCTACTTGAAAGATATCAATTTGAAGATCCTGCTATTCCTAGAAACCGGCTTCGTCAGATTTTGGGCGAAACTGGTGAGTTTCGACGTTGACTATTATGAAGAGGACAACGAAATGGACGACAACAGCAACCTTGATATAAAGGACATCACGCCAGCCTTCCTGCTCTTAATCATAGGATACCTCGGCGGGTGTTTGTTGCTCATCGCTGAAATTCTGTTCTACCCGTCGCCGGTGTTACTGTGACTCTTCTTCGTTTGGCTGCATTCTCAGGTGTCTCATTTTTCGTTCGATCTCGATATTGGGAAACGGAGTGCTTGCGCTGATGTTCGCTCGTTCCCAGGCATATCTTCGTTATATCCCGCAGACAGAATTTTCTCACTGGTGCGATAACTATCCGGGCTCATTAACCGTTCATAATAAATCTGTCGAAGTCTAGCAGGATTTTTAAACGCGCTTCTCGAATAGAACGGCGCCGCGGCGGGTTAATTAGAAAAGTTCTAAGCTAATTTCATTAAACCCACCCCGTTCTCCTCCTCCTTTTCTCCCTCCCTCTCTCTCTCTCTCTCTCTCTCTCTCTCTCTCTTTCTTTCTATTTAGTAGTCCAGTAATTTATTTTCTATTCAAAGGAGGTGAAGCACTTGTCGAAAATCTGCAATCCTGCAGATGCAAAATTGGTCTCTCGATAGAACTTCCTCAGGAGCGACTTGTCGTTTGTTATTTCCGAGCGATTAATTACGATGTATTTTATGCAAAATATTATAATTTATGGATATAATTATGCAGACAATGTAAATTTCCTTTTCTTCCGCCGGAGCAGCCAGCATCAGTTGCAAGTATCGCGACAAACATCGCAGTCCTCTTCGAAAATCGTAGACTTATATTTCTCTCGCAGAGATGTCAGCCGCTTCAGACAGAGGAATATTTTTTTTCGACGCTTTAAGCTCCCGTTGTAACACCGATAGTCGCTTAGTATCGATAGCCAATATTCGGTCTTTGCGTACACGGATATACGTTTCCGCGCCTGGCCATTCGTGTTTCACGAACAATCCGAAAAGATCGCCGGAATTCTGTTCTGCTATTCAGTCTCGGATCTCGATTTGATTAAATTCGATGCGATGTCTATCCCGACCTTGTGAACGTGATTGACTGTTATCGGATATTTTAACAGTATTTGCTCTCGCGTAAGGCGCAAGCGATGAAAATGTTAGATACACTCGCCAACTCCTGAGCCAACGCTGCATTTTAAACTTTTCATGTTCACGTTGCTCCGGCCGATTATCGTCGCGGAAGAACGTCGAGACGCTGTCGCTTCCGTACAGCTACTTATATGTAGGTTGCTACAAAAGTTTTTAGAAAAAGTATGAAAAAACACAAATTAGTAGGTATAAATGGCTTTATTGTTTTGCAAAGTAGTCGCCTTTAAGATTTATATACTTTTGCATGCGGTCGAACCAATCCTGGAAACATTTTTTCCACTCAGAAGTGGGTATCACTCAGAAACGTGCTGCGTAAACACGTTAACTGCCTCTTCAGGTGTTGAAAAACGCTCTCCACGCATTCTATTTTTGACAAACGGGAACAAAAAGAAATGATAAGGTGATAAATCAGGACTATACGCGCAATGAGATATTAATTCCATGTTTTTCGCCTTCAAATATCCTTCAAATTGTTTGACCAGCTGTGTGAGAACTCGCATTGTCATGATGAAGGATGATGCGACGATTTCGATTTGTTTTACGCAATTCATCGATGACTTCTGGCAAACAAATTGTTGTATACCAATCAGCATTAACAGTCCTTCGGTCCTCTAAAGTAACAGTAGCCACATGACCAGTAATTGAGAAAAATGCAGCGATCATTTTTTTTTAAGCACTGCGAGAACGAATAACTTTTGTTGGTTTAGGCTCTTCTTGGAACATCCAAACAGCTGATTGACGTTTCGTAGGAATAAATCCAAATTTCATCACCAGTTATGAGGTTGTAAACGGAATTTGAAGCACCTCGATCGAACTTCTTAAGCATTTCTTTGCTCCATTTGACACGAGCCTTTTTTTGAGCTTCGGTCAAATCGTGCGGAATTCAACGAGCACAAAGCTTTTTCACAGCCAAATGTTCATGCAAGATCTCACGTATTTGTTTCGTGTCAATGCCTATGAAATGCGTCTGAGTCTCACGGTATGTCACATGCCGGTCCATCTGCATCATTTCTCTTACGGCATCGATGTTTGTTGCAACAATAGAGATTGATGTACGACTTTCACGAAATTCATCACCAAGATTTCTACGTTCACGCTTAAATTCTGCAAACCAGTTGTAAACAGTGCCATTTGATGGCGCTTTCTCCCCAATAATCAGATGAAGTCGGTCGATGCATTGTTGTTGAGTTAACTCACACAGAAAAGAAATCGTACAAAACTATCGTTCGAAAATGTTCACGAGAAAATTCCATTCTTTCATAACATTAACTTTTTTAAAGCAATGCGCAAATGAAACTAGTTGACTTCTTTTTGATCTGTTAATGCTGTTTAACCTACAAAATGTCAAATTTTACGAAAATCATACTCTTAACTTTCAATTACGCTATCTAATACTGGTTTCTAAAAACTTTCGCAGCAACCCACGTACATTAACCGGACGACTATGCCGGGTGTGGATCGGAAATTGTAGCCTGTGGGAGAAAGAGAGGTGATTCTTCATTGCGAATATCAATCGAAAATGCGGACTAAGATTTTCCGCGAGATTTCGTTTACGAGGAGATTAACTTTGATGACCCGCCGAATAGATGCGCGCGATTTAACTAATAAATAAGCCGCGGCTTATCGGATTTACCGCTGCGCACACACACACACACACACACACACACACACACACACACATTCACATAACTATTTCTACTTTCGCGTTTGCGTGCAACACGTCACGACCCGAACCAAAGTGATACAGAGCGAGCTCCGACAGCACATTTGTTTTTGTTCATTTGAAAATTGCTGAACGTGTCGTCGCGCTGCCTTCGCATGCAAATCCGCGCACGTCGAATGAGAGTCATGAACCCGACTGGTAATCGATGGCGCGATTACCCCTCCGCTCCTACGAACGCCTGTATGATATTGTCTCCTAAATCATGACAATGTACACAAACACGAAGAAGCACGGTGACACGCAGCGAAATCCGTTAAGCCGAGTCCTATTATTAGTCTCAGGCGCATGAATATCCGACAAGGATCTCCCGAGTCAATTTTCTCAAGAACGAGGACTGGCGCGGAAAAGAGAGAAGAAGGAAAGAAAATTTATTCTGCAGTTTTGCATTTCTCTTCGTCGCGAGAAATCGGCTCCTTTCCCGCATAATGTACTCAAATTTCTGATGTATCCTGTATGTATCATGACGCACGCTGAAAATTGTCCGACACTCAAGACCATATTTCCGCTTACATTTGATTTATGTGAGACGGATTTCAATCGCGACTCTGCCACACTACCTTGCCGCTTCTCTATTAGCTGACATTATCTCGTGTGCGCGTTAGCCTAATTTATGATTGATTCGAGCAGTCGCTTTGGGAGTTGCAGGCATGATGTCTGTCACAAACGAACGCACCGTTATTGTCGTCGAATGGAACGTGACGAAATACTGATGAAACTCTGCTGATTTTAAGAGCGTATTTTCATGCGCCTCGATCTATTATGCGTTTAAAGAAATTCCTCTACTTTTTTGCATTTAATAATAGCATTAGATACGTGGATACGTCTAATAGGACCGATTGTTCCACCTTTCGATAAATTTCAGCTTATCTGACAGATTACTATTTATAAAATAAATTTTATCGGGGAGTTTACTAGTTACTTAAATATGAGCATTGTTTCACAATTATTTATTCTACCGGTAGTTACCTGGGATTTAAAAGCGATATATCGCGCCAATTACTTTCAGAAACGTTAGTCAATAACATTAAGCACATATTTAACATACATAACCTATCATGATGGATCTAACAGTTTTGTACCATATAGCCGTATATTCTTCGGGGAGAGCCGAAGGCACGGTGATCTGGGATCACTATAGTGAAAAAAAGGATCTAATAATCTAGCGAGATATAATTACATTAACTTAAATTTTTATATTAATAGAATACAGGTAAGATGTAACATTTATGTATATGCAAAAAATATAGGATAATATTAAAAATATAGGATAATATTTTAATAATTTATGCTAATAGATAGCCGAACCAAAAAGAAAAAGACAAAGAGGTTCTAATTTCTCTAATAAAGAAATTTCTCTAATAAAGAAATTGAGCTATTAATCATTATTTGTAAATCAATTTCTTCGTTGCCACCTTCATCACTATAAAGAAGTTGATTTTCCCACAATTTAGGCTTAATATACAGTGGCGTGCAAAAATTTCGAGTCATAGTGTCTTTTTAAGATACATGACAATATATTGATTTGCTCTAAAAATTAATTATATAAAATAGTTAACATAACATTCATATAAATAATAGTACAGTTACAAAATTTTGAAATTACATAGTTTCTAATTATTTAGTCATATGATATTTACATGTGTTCAAAAGTATTGAGCCGTATTCTTGTTGTGACTTTATGAGCACGGTTTGTTTACGTTTTTTACGAAACTCCTTCGTAAATATTTGCTTTAATTAAGGTTCAGTTTATTGTCTACTGCAATGCCGAAACATACAAGCCTTCAGTTACGCGAAGCCGTGATTAATCTTTCTCAACAAGGAAAGGTTTCTCGCGAAATTGCTAATTGCTTATTAATTGATAAAAGTACTGTAAATAAGATTATTGCTAAATATAAGTTGACGAACTCTCTAGTTGATAAATCACGAAACGGTAGACCTCGCAAAACTAAGCGCAAAAACGCATCGATAAAATGATTAAAAGAAAGTCGATAGCAGATGCTGGAAAAACTGTCATGGATATTTCTCGAGAACTACGAGAAGAAAATCTTGCAGATATTAGTCGAAGTACAATATCTCGATGTCTAAAGGAAGTAGGATTTTTAGGACGTGCTGGTGTAAAGAAAACCATTAATTAGTGCGAAAAATAAGAAAGCTTGATTTGATTTTGCAAAGAAATTTGAACATTAGACTGAAGTTGATTGGCGAAAAGTACTTTTCTCTGACGAGTCAAAGTTTCAGTTATTCGGAAGTGACGGTAGAAAATATACAAATTCCTACCGTAAAACATGGAGGTAACGTGATAGTTTGGGGATTATTTTCTTATAATGGAGTTGGTCCATTGGTTGAGATCACGGGTACTTTGGACGCTATAATGTATCGAGATATATTGACACAGCATATGCTGCCATATGCAACTCGAAACATGCCACGTAGTTGGATTTTCCACCAAGATAACGATCTCAAACATTCATCAAAACTAATAAAAGAATTTTTCATCGTGAAAAAAAATGCGAGTTCTTGACTAGCCCTCGCAATCGCCGGACTTGAATCCTATTTAGCATTTGTGGCAAGAACTCAAACTACGTACAGGAAATAAGAAACACTCCAATAAAGCTGAATTGTGGCAAG